TTTACAGTCTTTACAATGTAACAATCCACAACCGGAAGGAAAATGAAAGTGTCTCTTTAAAACAAAGAAGCGGCTGAGCCGCAGCCATTTTTTTCTCCCTTGTCTGTTAACTTTCGATTTCAGGCAATTGAGAAGAGTACTTAATTCTTCTGAGTCAAAGTTATAATTTCTTTATAAAAAGTCCAAATTTCCTAGACAGTTCTGTCTGATGAAAGTTACTCACAATTAAAGTCAAAAAAGAACATCAGAGGTGGAGATGGCGTCTGGCTTCGCAAAGTAACGAAGACATCCCGATCTGCGGAGGAACTCTGGGCTCCGGAGGAGTTCTCACCTTCGCCTCCCTGGGAGCCCCCCAGGGAGACTAGGGAACTCGACTCCTACTCCAGAGTAAGCTCTTCTTCTCTCCTATGCCCGGAGAGAAGGTTCAAACCGCCAAACAGCTGGTATCCGCTGTTTCGGCGATTTTTACGCAGTCCCGGACGGGAGGCTGTCAAAAAGCCTCCTTCGGCAGCCGCCCAGCCACCGGAAGTCCGATTGCTCAGTTTTAATGGTGCTGCTTCTGGTTGGGTTAGATTGGGAAGTAGGGGTTTGTTAGATGTATGCTGCTTTTTTCTTTGATTGTTGTATTTCCTTCTATCCTCTGTGAGTTATTTGTCCATTGTTTGATTCAGTTTGGATATAGCTTTCTTTCGTAGGTTGGAGTTTGGCAAGAATTGCCTCTAGAACAGAATAGAGAATAGAGAATAGAGAATAGAGAATAGAGAATAGAATAGAATAGAATAGAAGCTGGAAGGGACCTTGGAGGTCTTCTAGTCCAGACCCATGCTCAGCAGGAGAACCTACACTGTCTCAGACAGGTGAATGTCCAGTCTCCTCTTAAAAATCTCCAATGATGGAGTGCCCACGATTTCTGGAGGCAAGCTGTTCCGCTGGTTGATTGTCCTCACTGTCAGGCAGTTTCTCTAAGGAGGTTGATTCTCTCTTTGATCAGTTTCCAACCATTGTTTCTCGTCCTTCCCTCTGGTGTTTTGGTGAACAACCTGCCCCCCCTCTGCCCTGTGGCAGCCCCTCAGATACTGGAACACTGCTATCATGTCTCCCCTATTTCTTCTTTTCTTCAGACTAGCCAAACCCAAGTCCCGTAGCCGTTCTTCATATGTTTTAGTCTCCAGGTCTTTGATCATCTTAGCTGCTCTTCTCTGAATTTCTTCCAAACTCTCAACATCTTTTTTGTGATATGGTGACCAAAATTGGCTGCAGTATTCCAGGTGCTGTCTTACTAGGGTTTTATAAAGCAGTAATAGTACTTTGTGTGATCTTGATTCTATGCCTCTGTTTATACAACCCAGGATTGTATTAGCTTTTTTGGTTGCTGCTGCACACTGCTGGCTCAATGGTCAGATGATCATCCACTAGGACTCCAAGGTCCCTCTCACAGTTTATTTATTATTTATTTATTTATTTTATTAAACTTATATGCCACCCTTCTCCCAACAGGACTCAGGGCGGCTTACAGCATATTAAAACGATACAAACACTATCCCCAATAAAAACCAATTAAAAACAAATATTTACCGCTGTGTTACCATTAAAATTCTAATTAAAATTGTCCCTATTTAAAATTCTCCCTAGGCCAGACCCGCTTGCTGAAA